GTTAATAATTGTTATTGTGTGCACAATGCATATTCATATTGAAACAAACTATGATAAAGGGAATAATATTATATAACAAAGGGCGATGTTAATAATTGTTATTGTGTGCACAATGCATATTCATATTGAAACAAACTATGATAAAGGGAATAATATTATATAACAAAGGGCAAGGTCACCAGAGTTCAACTATGTTTTTATTATTACTCATAAACAAAAAAATACATATAGAACTTAAGGAAATAAATACAGAAATAAACAGTAATTTACGCTGTGAAAAAGAATGCATATTCACTGCTTGATTTTTTTACAGGCCCACCTGTGATAATAACTCCACCAGTTGAAATGGTTAAAGTTTCCGAAGGAGAGACGATAATCTTGACTTGCAAAGCTGAAGGCATTCCAACACCAATCATATCGTGGCGGCTCAATTGGGGTCATATACCAGATTCTTCTAGGGTAAGCCAGCATTTCTTTGCTATCCTGTACTTGAATTCCTGCTCATGGGAAATTCTGTTTAGATTTTACCAATGCTTATAATTTGTGATGTTTTGAAAAGTACTTAAAGAGCGGTAGTCATTGCACAACGCGCGTTTGAATATCATGTAAACAAACAATGTATTTTACATGTACTGCATACGCCGCTATGAGTCCTCATATCGAACAGGACACGCGCAACGACCACCGACCTTTAAAGCGGGAGGGCCGTCACTTGCGGACATGCGGGAATTGAGTCCCAAGCGACAATAACAACACGCTAAAAATGCAAAGGTTCATGGGTAGACACTTGTTTGTAAACAATGACACACTATGGCCAACTGACGCATGCGCAGGTGACGACTCTCCCGCTTTAAGCTAACTCAGTCATTTACGTTTGACAAATTTAAAAGGGACATTAGTATGTTAAGTCTCATCCTTTCCATCTTGAATTTTGTTAAATGTCACGCTGTCCTCTGATTCTGTTAAATTCTTTTGAAAAATCTAAATTCCTCTTTAGATTTTTTGAGGGTTAATGTTCTGATTGTTGTTGCTAGGTAACAGTAACTTCTATCAATGGCCTTGGTGTTCTAACGATAAAAGATGTACATGAATCTGATTCTGGGGCTTATACATGTGAAGCCATGAACAACAAAGGATACCTCTTTGCTCTCCCTGATGCCATCGTCATAGTAACACGTAAGTTTATACTACTTAAGATTGAGAGAACTATAATAATATTTACATTCCTGAGGGTAGATTAACTGATAAGGGTTTGCAAATTTTCTAACCATTCATGGTGAAGTCACACTGTCATCTTTTAAATTTTCTCGTTGGTGGTTGTGCACTCGTCTGACAGTCAGGTACACAACCTTGACAGAAAAAAATCATGTAATTAGGGGGAGATATTTTGGCAAGACACATTATGCAGGTATAAATGTGTTCAATTATTCAAAGTACTGCCCGGGAAACTCCAATGTCCAACTTATCAAAAGGTTCATATAGTCACATGATCTTTGTTTAGAGCATGGAAGGTACTAACGGAAGGGGCCACGACGCTATTGTTTTAGCTTTACCCCCATGATCGTTTGTCAATGTTTGTGCACAAACATTGTTCTTGTTAGCTTTTAGCACCTTCGTACAATAGGTTACGACCATCTCGAGCATTTGGTAATATTCGGAGCATGTTCGGAAGCGATAGTCGAACCTCGCATGTACAATATTGAAAATGGCGTCTAGTTTGAATGCTGTTGTTTCCGGGGATCTTGGCGAACTTTAATGAAAAATTGTCAAATATAACATTGATTGAAGAAGAACTGATGAAATATCGTAGATTTTGTATTCGTAATGGTGATGAGACGTAATCAATGATTGCTTGACACGATTGCATTATTCAATGGTACCATTGTCAGTGCGTGGGTTTGGCACCCGAAACTGTCGAAATTTTTGACCACCGGACATCAGCGAACACCAACAGAAAAGAAAGTATCGAAAGAAGAGCATGCCTCGACACTTTCTCTGTGATAATATTTTTTAGGAGTCCTTAGGAATTGTTGTTGTATGCACTCGGAATCTTGTTATAGTTACAGTTGCTAATTAAAGCATGTGAAATTTGTGAAGTCAAACGTTTATCTGTTTAGAGTATGATTTCTTGGCGCTAGTACATGAAAAGATTGGGTATTCACACATATGAGAAATTGGTTCTCCCGAATGGGTTTGGGGGCTATTAGGGATGCAGCTTTGAATACAGATTTTACAAATATCCAAGTTTTGAGATTAATATGATGCATATTGTGTGTGTGTTTTTTCAGCACCAGAGGGACATTGTACAGGGTCACTTTTCAATGCTGAAGCTGTGACTGTAGCAGAATGCGTTTCTTGTTTCTGTTTTGGTATCGCTCAGATCTGTTTTAGTAGTACTTATAATGTATTCCAGGTAGGATATAATACAATTTTTTTTTAGAGTGAAACCTTGTGTATTGTGTGAAATGGACATACTGCATAATACCTACTGCAAAAATCATATGATCTAATTTTAATATTGAATTTTTCAATGCTAAAATATTGATATATCAGAGAGAAACATAGCATGGGATACATCATCAAAATTTACCATCAAATGTGTATATTGTATCTATATATGGTTTTTATTTACAAATATTAAATATTCGGCCCATAAAGTTATTACAAAACAAAGGAACATTTGTGCGTTTGTACAGTTAAAGCGAACCTAAATGCGGCCTTAATTTATAGTTGTGTATATTCTAAACTGTATTCGAAATAATATTGCAGTGGTTTAATTTTGTTTTAATTATAACTGTAGCTTGGATAGGCATTTGAAGTGCTTGCAATTAAACACCATGGAGGCCATTCATGGAGGGGAATAAACAACGAACAAACATATTTAACATCCGGGTACTTTTCAAAGCTATGACGTTTTAGTATCTGATCACATTCGTATACGCCATTGTACATAGCCGTTCATGCTGCCAAGCATTGTGTACTACTAGTATAAACTCAACTTTTATATGCACAATGTGCTTTTTAAAACTTGGGTTAGAGCCTTATGCGTTTGAACCACAGTATTCTGAGAGTGGAAGCCCAATTGCGTTAAAGTACCTACTTCCCCGATCGTAAGCCCCTCCCGAGTATGAAGCCCATTCCTATATTTTTATTTTTAGGTATTTATCGAGTTGAGAACATTCACGATTATAAGCTCAGAGTGTTTTTACTGGGCGTCGACGATATTCTTTAAAATATGCGTGTAAAAGGTGTGTTTCATTTCATAATAATCGTGATTGGCATGGTAGTTTGGTTCGTGTTTTTTTTTAACTCGCATTAATTTCAGAGTACATGGCGAACGTACACAACGTGGTTCGCATCCTTTCTATTCTGTCATTTACTCAGGATGAACCCCGATGTTGCAATACTGGATGGAGTAATCCATATTTCTTCGAGTAGTAGCTTTTGAAAAGCCAAAAATGTGATCGTTAAGTCATGTACCTGGTTATTGGGCATGGTTTACTTTGAGACTATCATGAAAGGCCTAGGGTTTGAACGATGTGACATGATGTTGGCGACCGTGAAATTCATCCTCCACACTATTTACCCACGGTTACTATAAACCGCCGTTTATATTTCGGAAATTGCGAATCGCCAGTTTTTAGGAAAAAAATCATCGTTTTTTCGTTGCAATCGGTGCTACAGATCGCATTTTAACATTTTGGTAATTCACTTCCGCATTACGTTAAAAAATCATCGTCAATAATCGGAAAATGTCATCATTACGACACATCATTTTGATTGGTTAATGAAAGACATGACCTGTTATGTCAAAGGAAGTTGTTCCAGGAAAATTGCTTTGCGTCAAGTTTGCGTACGATCGAAAACATACCAAAACGACTCAAGATAATGATAAATGCCTTCGTCCACTGTTTCCTCACAGATCCTACCCATTATTTCACCGTAAATTCTGACGGTATGTAAATCGTATTGTAATAAAATGTGCATGTTTTTTTATGAGCATGTTTGTTTCTTCATTGTAAGTGTCGTGGAAATCAATGACGCATTTTTTTATCGAAAATAATATTATTTTCCCGAGCCCGGCATGGTGAACGAATAATTGTTTTGGATAATTTTTCGTTGTTAGCAAAATGGTTACAGTGTTTAACCCCAAGACAAAATGATCTTTTCTGAGCTGGTCCTCGAGTATAAGCTCATCCTTACTTTTCCCTTACGTGTTCATGCCTCCGGGCTTATGATCATACTGTGAAGATTCAGTGTGAGTGATGAGAGTATATCGTCGACGATGCCCCTTGTTCGGATAATAGTTTTATTTCAAATTACACGGGAGGTATGTGAACAATCTGCTTGGTGTTTCTGTGACATTTGTCCCATGATTTGCCAGTGCAGCCCCGTGAATACATAGACGAAAATGTTTCCATCACCACCCTACGAACTCAAGATTGCATACTCCAGCATCCATACTTTGAATAATTTGCACGCCGCACAGTGCAATACTGGAAACAACATTTATTAGACAGTTAGACAAAAAACAAAACAAAATGCCTGTCTCGATCAATTGCACATCCATAATGTTTGTATGTTGATACGCTTGTAAATAACATTAACGTAAAAGTCGAAACAACATAGACTAGAAATCAATTCACCAGTCCAGCCAACTATGGCTCCCTAAGTTGCTTATATTTAATCAGATACTATTTCGTCATCATGCTTTGTTACCTTACCTGTTTATACCTCATGAGGGCGTTTTTTATGGCAAGATGGCGCAAACGGAAGTCCTTTGCAGGTTTATGGTTTCTCATATTTAAATCATCATAACTCTGAAGATAATCATTTTTTTTAATTTTTTTTTTTCAAATTTATAATCACTATACATAACTTGATGAATACAAACACCAAAATAGGCTCTATTTAGTTCCCCTTTAATATTTCAATAAATCTGAAATTTCGTACCTAACATTTAATGTATGAAATACATATTCATCAAGGCGTTTCAAAATGACATCATCATGTGATTTCATTAAAAGAATAAATTTGTGTAAAGTCGGTGGATTATAGAAGTATAGGGGTAGATATCTATCACGAAATTCATTTTAAAAAGAGCAGACTAACAGGAAGTGGTACTCATCTTCTATTTGGTTTGTTTCACAAAGTTGACATATTCTCTGGTTTCTTTTGATTGCTCCTCTACTTACTTCAATGCGAAGACAGTGTGCTGAGCAGCGAAAGCGTGATAAGGCATTTTTGTGTGAAATAACAGGGGGTTCAAGAAATATGACTGTCTTGATAAAATGTGTATATTATATTATCAAACATGAAAATATCCAAAAATACTTTCAATTTTGTTTAAAAGTTTGATTTTGTTGAAAAATTTGCATGATCAAACACCAATGAACTTATAACATAGCAGCTGGTAACAATAGCAATTTTTTATTATGAATATATAGGATTTCCTGTTACCATGGATACAACATTTTCTCACTTTACTGAACTCACAAAAATTGATCTGTTGTAAAATTAAACTAGTTTAAATTTTAGCTGCTACAATTTACAACGATGATTTATGTTTATTTTTTAGGAAACTTTAGATTTCACTCAACCAGGTATCATCTTCGATATGAAGTTAGTGAAAAGAAGAACTACCAGTATAGAACCAATAGATGATATATTTCTGGGTGTCAATACAGCTACGGCTGAACTCTATGTGCAGGATATCACAACTCAAATTGGACAGGGTGAATATCATTGGATGTTACCACAGCAGTTCTTAGGCAATCAGGTAAAAGATATGGCGTGTATCAAACACAATAGTGAAATAATAATATCACAAAGCATTGCATTATGGGATTACTTATTCATGAAGATGTTCAATTCAGAGAAACAAATAAGTAAGCAAAAACGAAAATTGTGACAGACGAATTCACAACTGTTGTGGCGATAAAATATTTTCTTAATGATAATCACTTAGGTTAATGATTATTGTTACATGGACATTTTGAATTTCATGCCACTTAGGTTAATGATTATTGTTACATGGACATTTTGAATTTCATGCCACCTAGGTTACTTTGAATTACATGGATGTATGGTTTCTTTCAGTTAACTAGCTATGGGGGTCTTCTCCAATACATGGTGAGGTACGAAACGAATGACTTCCCAAAATCTTCAAACGTTCCAGATGTGGTACTTCAGGTAAGTTGTGTAAAGTATTCATTAAACAGCGGTGGTGGTCAACATTTTGTATTTATATTACAAAGTTAAATAAAACAAAGAAAAAAAAGGTAAAACATGACCCTTTCAAATGTAAAAAAAAAAAAAAAAAATCATTTTGATGAAAATCAGCGTAATGATAATGTTTGCAGAAAACAATATTTTCGCCAAAAAAAAGTAGATCAACAACTTTTATTTTAAATACAAGTTTTTAAATTCTTTAAGGTTTGCAGCACACTAATACATGTGTGATCAAACGTTTTCTTGAAATCTCTGCGCACACTCTGAAGAGTTTGTGATATACATGTAACAACCATACTCAATATATTTTAAAATTTAAACATTACCTGAAAACATTAAGGTTTTCTATTGTTTTGCAAAATGATTTATTGAGTTATAATGGTCACCTTATTCTCTGATTATATAGCTTCTTTAG